CTACACAATACTTATCATCCTGTTTAAGGATGATATCAAAGCATATATGTGTCAGTAAATATATTTGCCTCATATTTCAACTTTCTTCAATTTTTCTTCCTATCATCGTTTTGTTTCCATTGCTATAGTAAAGTACTGTGAAAGAAATAAAGACTAAAACAAGGAAGGAATCATTTGACTTTACATTCAGGCTTATTCATATTGTAAAGTCCTGCTAGAATGAACTTTAAGCAAATGAACATATCTATCTTCAGTTAAGGAAATAGAATAATAAATAAACACACATATTCTAATCCTCAGCTCAGTTTCTTTGACTTTTATCCATCCATGGTACACAGGTATCTATCCATAATATCTGTCTAGGAAATAGTGCCTCCCCGAGTTGGCCACCTTCCCTAACTTGACTCAATAAATTATGAAAATCCTCTATACACTTATCCAGAAATTAACCTAATCTAGACAAATCTTTATTGACAATACCAAGTGATTAGAGACTATTTCAAGGTGATAAATAAAATCAACATGACAACTTGCTTTCTCAAGTTGATCAATACTGTACTTTAAGCTATAACCTTACTCTTATTATATCATAAATAAAATACAACAAAACTTTAAAGGTCCCATGGCCATAAAAATTAACACACTTTAAAATCCTGATAGAGTAGAAACACCTTAAAGTATTTACATATATTGAAGAAATGTAAATGGAATCATCAAGAACTGAGGGAGAGAAAGTCCCAATTAAGACTCTCATTTGACCACATGAAACTTCTACTGCTGAGAATGGGTTACATTAAATTTATTTGTTGATGAAATGGGCCCTTTTAGAAACAGTCAAACAACTCAGACTATTGCAAAAGCTTTTAGTTGTTCTATACAAACTGATGGTACCATTAAAACCAGCACACATGTATTTTGTATATATGGAGAAGTATAGCTGGTACCTAACTAGATCCTTCTCCCCTACTGACTAGTACTTACAGTCCTGAAAGGTACTTTACATACTACTAAACAAGAAAGGTCAATGCCAAATCTGCTACAAACCCTTCAATCTTTAATGCCAACTTGCCTATGTGACAAACTAGTGAAACCATGGCACAAATACTACGGGATATCCATCAACTATCTGTTTGGAATTAAGTCACATTCCATGAGATGGAATCTATACTTGACACTGCTCCATTGTCCAAGAACATGAGACTAGAAGACCTATGGTTCTAAAGGAATATAACAATAAAATGACTCTAAGCACCATTCTACTCTACCCTTGGATCAGTATCTCACTCATCTGTCATCACAGAAGCTTCCTTCTGAAGTAGATAGGAGCTAATACAGATACCTATAATCAGACAGTGTACCTAGTGAGAGATCTTGCAATACCTGGGACTAAATGGGATATATGTATCATATCCCTCTTTCCATGGATCAGGGAATGATGTGGGAGTGAAGTAAATAGAATATAAGAGTTACAGGGAATGTGTGTGACCAACAAAACAGTATCTTATAGAAATAATAGGTCTAACACAATTATGATCTCACAGACATTATGACAGCAGCATAGGGCATGGAAAGATCCAAATCCGACAGAGCTCCAGATGTGGGGTAGTAGATGTGAGTTTTCATCCACACTGAAGAATCTATTTTCAATTAACAAATATTTGGGAAAAAAATTAGTTTTACAATGGAGCATCACTGGATATAAAAACCACACCTAAGGGAAAGCTCCAAGCAGATAAGTAGATAGTCAACAAAAGCCACACTGAATGATATTTATGAATTGTCTCATTCTGTTTTGTTTGGATATATGTATTTCTTTAACCTTCCTGGTCTTTTATTCATATAATATGGTTTCCACTTTTGAGTTTCAGGGGTTTTTGGGTGTATATGTGTGTGTGTATGGGGGATTTTCTGTGTTGGGAGTGTGTGTGTGCGTGTGCGTGTGTGTGTGCGTGTGTGTGTGTGTGTATGTTTGTGAATAGTGGTGTGTAGATCTGTCTGTGTGTAGAGAGGTGTGGGTCTCTCTCTCTCTCTCTCTCTCTCTCTCTCTCTCTCTCTCTCTCTCGCTCTCTCTCTCTCTGTGCGTGTGTGTGTGTGTGTGTTCCTCTATGTACATGCATTGATTTCTCCTGCTCTTTCTTTGTTATATTTTTGTTATTATTTGTTTATATGTTCAATTTGTTATCTTTTTTTAATGTGTCCTTTTTTTCTTCTTTTCTAAAAAGAGAAAGAATATGTGGACTTGAATATGTGGTCAGTTTAGAAGATATTTGGGAAGAGATAGGAAGGGAAGGCATGACCAAAATATATTATATACAAATAAATTTACTTTGAATAAAAAATAAATAAATATGTTTCAATATCTGTTCACTATAAGCTGCTATCAAATAAAATAAAAAAACACCCCCTTGCAATTTATGATAGCATGGTATGATCATTGTATTTCAAATTGAAAAACCTGGGAGATTGTAATAAATAATCAGCATCCCAAAGTAAAATAAAAATCCAGAGGGGAAAACATCAAATCTTGACTCTATATTTCCATTAACTGGAGCCTGTACTTTAATTTTCTAGGCTTTACAGGCTTAGCCTGTACCATCTGTACCTCCACTCTTACACCTGAAGCACTAACCTGTTCCACTCCACATCTGCAACTCTGCTTGCTGGATCACCTAGAGTACTGGCATTTCCTAGTCTGCTGTTTCCACTACAGTTGTGACTTCTTTCCAGCTGATTTCAATAAATTCTTAGTGCCTGTGCTAGGTAGACTTATGTCAACTTGACACACACTAGTGTTTTCTGAACCAAGGAACTTCAGCTGTGAAAATGATGTCCTAAGATCCACCTGTAGGAAATCTTAATTAATGTGGGAGGGCTAAGGCCATTGGGGGTGGTGCCATCCCTGGGTTGTGGAGGACTTAGGTTATGTAACAAAGCAGACTAACCAAGACATAATAAGCAAGACAGCAACAACAACTCCCATGCCTTCTGCATCAGCTTCTGTCTTTAGGTTCTTCCCTTGTTTGACCTCCTGTCTTGACTTCCTTCAGTGATGAGCAGTGATCTCAAAGTGAAAGCAAAATAAACTCTTTCCTCCCCAATTTATTTTTAATCATGGTATTTCCTTACCAAAAATAGAAATTCAAAAACACTGACTTTATATAGGGATTCCAATTTAGCCATGGTGCCTAGCCTCATCTGTTCTCTCCATAACTCCCTAAACTTGCTTCTGTATGTTCAAACTAAGTACCATGTGTTTTATGTTATCAAGTTCTCTTGTCAGCTCAAGATGTACTCTGGTCCCTGTAGCTGCATTAGCTTCTGACTCCTGGCAAGAATGAGGCGCATGACTACTGCCTAGTGCAGAACACCAGATTTCTCTTTCATGATGCTAATCTCCTTAACAGCTACAATTACTCTGTTGGTTTCACTCTGCTTCCCTAAACTTTACGCTTATCTTAACAAACTTCCACCCTCAAAACCCATAAGTCCTTAATCTTTACATTCCCCTTCATTCAAATTCTTAGAACAAGGCAATGCAAAGCCAGATTCCTGGTCAAACTATCACAAATCATCCCTTGCCCTATTCCAGACACAGCTTAATTTCCTTTCTGAAAGCTCATATGCCATGTTGTAACTGTCTGAAGTTCCCTAGGCATTCTTCTTGAAGGTTCATCGAGAACAGCAATTTAAACCCTGCTTATAGAATTCAATGACTGCTTTAAGCCAAACTTCCAAAGATTTCAGCATTCTTTCCCCTAATCAGTTTTAACATATTAAACTCTTTTTTATTTTGGGATATCATAACCAAAATTCTACTTTGTACTAATTGATGTTCCTAATGATGTTTCTATAACATAGTTATGCTTTCATAGATTTCCATGGTTATGATGAAATGCCATGACAAAAAGCACCTTAATAAAAGAGTTTACTGGACTCACAACTCCAGGTTATATCTATTTGTGCAAGCAAGTCAAGAAAGGACGCTTAAAGCAACTGGTCAGAAAATATCCAGTCAAGTGCACTACCACTACCCAATCTTCTCTTCTCTACTTACTTATCTTTCTCTCAAACTTCTGATTTTGAAACTTTTCTATTTATAGACTCCCTTATTACTTTCTTATTACTTCTACTTAATCTTATCTTTACATTCATCTTCACTCAAGTTGTTTAATCATGGACAGAATAAAGCCACATTCCTGGTCAAAATATAACACACATCTCTCTTTGCCCAATTCCACACACCGTTCTTTGTCTCCAGTGAAACATCCTAAGTCAGGTCTTAAATGTCCACATCTCTTCAGCATTCTTCTCCTTCAAGCTTTGACTAGAACAGCAATTTAAACACTGCTTCTAGCACTCAACAACTTTTCTATGTTACATCTTCTCTGTCCCAGTTGGTATTTTAAGATAACATCAACTCTTACCTATAATATGAATTATATATCTATATCTTCTTTGTTTATTTTATTTTGCCTTAATCTAATATTTTTTATTGGATGTTTTATTTACATTTTCTATGTTTTCCCCTTACCCCATTCCCCCCACCCAGGAATCCCTGTATCCCCTCACCCATCCTCCTGCTTCTCTGCAGATGTGCCCCTACCTATCCCCCGACTCTCACCTCCCCATCCTCAAATTCCCACCTACTGGGTCGTCCAGCCTTCATGAGACCAAGGATCTCTGTTCCTACCTATCCCCGACAGGGCCTTCCACCCTTATATATACAGATGGAGTAATCACAAATTTAATACTTTCAACATTGCTAGTGTAATCAATTGTTTCTATACATCATTTAAAATTTAATCTTAACATTATGAAGAAATTTAAAATGCCATTTGGCAAACTAAGAAGTCTTAATATTGCATTGAAGATGTACTGCTATATACATAAAAATACATGGTGTGAGTTCATAATTAAAGTATTGCTATTTGAAGAAAAGATAGCTATTACTGTCTCTACATTTTTTTTATAATCTGCTGTCCAAATATTAGTCTATGTACCTTTTTCAATTTGATGATTCCTTCTTGTGTATCTTCATCTGTGATAATATCAAACAAATTTCCCCCGTCTCCTGGGACAATGTTGTATTCAATTTCTGCATTTTTTCCAAAATCAGGATCTACTGCTCTTATTCTTCCAATAGCTGAGCCAACAGGGGAAGACTCGGGAACTTTCAGATGGAAGATGCCTGATAAGAGATACATCATTTGCAAAGGCAAAGGAATCAGTGAAGTTTATAATAAGACTACGCTGCTTTAAAATATAAACATAAGTAGTGGATCAAACTTAGGACTTTATAATACAATGTGAAGGGTAATTTATTGACAGTTTAAAGGCTAATAATGTATGAAATTGCCTCAGAATTTACTTCAGAATGTCCTGATGTAGAAATTTTAATTGAGAAAAGGACTAATACACTGTGATAAATCACAACAACTTTAAGAAAAATTCATATGACAATTCTATTTAAATGGATTAAATATTAAATGCAATCTTACAAGCATTCCTAATCAATAACATAAGAGAAATCAATACCAATATAGGATGCAAATAATGTAGGATGCAAAACTTAAGAAAAACATAAATACACAGCTACATAGATAAATAGATTACTGGAGTATTCATTAAAATACTTATATATACTTTTAATGGGTTAAGTTTATCTTCTCAGGAATAATACATTCAAGCAAAAATATTTTTTAATGATGATCTATATAGGCTCAATATTCTAATTCAGAGTTATGGTAAATATAGAATACTACTTGTTATTTGAAGGTGTTTTAATATATATTAACTTGACACCCTAAAAATACTTTTATATATTATTGAGATCAACATATAAATGCAATACCGTATTACATTTAGTATTAAAAATAAAAAGGAAAATTATTATTTTTACCACCAGATGGAGCACTAATATTACTGCAAAATTGAAAATGAAACAAATATTGTAAAACCTACAAAATGTTGTGTATGACTATGAAAAATTATGCTGCAAATATAATTTTGGCAAATTAAAAATTTTGGATGTTCAAATAATAGTATGCCACCAATAAAGCATAATACATATATTACTGAGATTACATAATACATATATTACTATGCATTGTCTCTAAACCCCTATTAGTATTTTAGCCTTTGTTCTTTTCAAGTCAGAGTAACAAAAGGACGAGATTGGAAGGATAAAAAAAAAAAACATAAAAGTAGAAGACTTAAGTATGTTACTGACATTTCAATTTCAAATTACATTAATAGACTTTGCACAGACCTTTTCCATGAATGAAATTCTTACTGTTACAAATTTTGTTTGGAGTTTCTATTTGCATCAAAGGACACTATGCTAGGAACATATTCAGCATACTTATTGTATGATAATCCATACAAATTGTAAATTCTACATTAGGAAGTATGAATGAGCATTGTGAAATTTCAGCTCCTTTCTCTTTTTATTTCCTTTTTTTTGTAAGAAATACACATTCTTTGAGCTTCAAAAATTGCTAATTTCTGGGTCAAGAGATCTACACTTTACCCTTTTAAAATGTTTGTACCCAGTAGACAGTAGACATTTCTACAATGGAGTATATATTTGGTTTCATGTTTCTAAACATCCTCCTATGGTAAAATATATCTCTATGTAACACATTATTATTTGTCTTTCAAATTACACAGAAATTTTTTAAAGATTTATTTATTTTTATATATTGGAATACACTGTTGCTGTCTTCAGACACACCAGAAGATGGCACTGGATCCCATTACAGATGGTTGTGAGCCACCGTGTGGTTGGGAATTTAACTAAGGACCTCTGAAAGAACATCCCTTGCTCTTAACTGCTGAGCCATCTCCCCAGCCCTCACCCCAGAATTTTTAAAGGAATTGTAAAAATTTATTGTAGGTAAAATAAAACAATCAAACGAAGGACAGTTGACAAGTAGAGTTGTTTAATATGTGTCTCTGCAGGATAAAAGGAGATATTCAAGTACAATCAACGTTTTGCAGACAAAAGTGTGTAAAGGATGGCTACCAGGTTTTGCCAACTACTTTCTGAAAGAAAATGAGGACATGACGGTAAGTAAGTGTGATTGAAGACAAAGGTTCCTATTAAACATCTGGAAGGGTCCAGACTGAGCCCAGCCATGAGAAAAGAGATGGATTGCCAGAAAAACAGAGAAAAGGGCATGGGGTTGTAACAAGGTTATTAGTATACCTAGAGCAGTGCCAAGGATCAAGAAGCTAAGAAAGCACTTAGTCAAAATATCTAAGTTTATAATGGAACAGAAACTGGGGAAGGGAAGGGAAGCCAATTCTCTGAGTTCAAGAGGTTTAGTGTAGGGTCTGGGATGAGAAGTGCTGAGAGAGTCCCAGGTTTTAATTGATGCTGGGAGAGTTGACCAGCAATCAGTTGATAAGTTAAATAGACACCTTAGTCATTTGTCCTGAGGTTCCTCTGAGACCCTATGGGGAAAATATCTTTCTTAATTCATATATTACATCAAAATTCTACTGAGAAATGCTTGAGATATCAGCAAGTACAAGTTACTTAAATTTTTCATCAATGTGTCAAGAAGTATAAAACCATACATATTTAAGATATACTAAACTCAGAGACACAACACAAGGCAAAATGTAAAGCCCAGAATATGGGTTAATTTTTCCTACTTTTATTTTTAATATCAAATAGGAACATTAATCAGTCCAAGATTTAAATCATGTTCCTCTCTGAGAATTGTAATTGAGATAAATAATCTGAAGTTGCATAAAATCCTTTGAACTCAAGGATGAGCAGATGTACTGCAATTGCATGGCCCATCAGTAATATTGCCAACAGTCTTCAGGATTTCCTGATAAGACAAAGAAATGGAGGTCTGTGCTGAACAACCCACTATAAATCCTCTGCTGTTCAGATATAGAAAATTTATTGCTAAATGCACCAACTGAATGGCTGACAGTCAATCTGAGAGCAACATGGAGCTGTGGCATGTACTGGATTTCATTAGAGACAGTGAGTACCAGCGAGGGCACCCTGGGAGTGTGTCTGCTGGAGGGCAGGGGAATGTCCTGATGAGACTTTGAAAATAGGAGACTATCATTCAAAGGCAGTGGAGTATTTCTGCGTATACTTTCCCATCCAGACATGTAGAGTAACTTCAAACTAGAAAAGCCAAAACTATTTTTTAAATAACTATTCAGGGAAACAACAGTCTGAAGTCATATGTAAAGGATTATAGTTAACGAAGGTGAATTGTCATAATTGAGACATTTCAATATGTGTGAGGGATGTGAACATTTTAAATTTTGAAAGGTAATCTAGAGGCCATCAGGAAATTCAGACTATTGATGAAATGGCTTCCTTTGTAAGGCTATATGCTGAGATATGAATTTCCTGTTTTATAGAAGACCATTTTATGACGCCAATCGCAGCAAACGTGAAGACAGCTATTCTTTGTAGTACTCTATCAATATAAGCTATGTTGTCAGAGCAGCTTTTTCTGAAGATTGTTCACATTGGTATGTCCAAAATTCAATTATTATCTTGTGGCTCTGGAAAATTTGTGATGAATTGGAATAGTTTCACTTTTCATCAATGATTGACTTCATACTATGCCCTCAGTACCATGCTTCAGAATTAAGAAATAATTGAAGTTAAAAAATTGGCTTGTGCGATCCATGTCCCTGTGCTGAGCTTTTAGTACCTATAAAACACAAAAGTGCAGGACAGTGTTTTTTCTGATCTTAGCGTATCAGGCATACACTTTTATTGAGTTAGGATGCACCTACGTTCATTAAGACAAGTATATTACAAAAAAATACTGCAACTGATGATAAAGTCTATCATACATGGGAGAAGTTAGTGAGAGTGTGCATTTGTCATTTCAAGTTGTTTAGGTTTCATCCATTTATTTCCAATGACTTGGCATTTTATCATTGCTTGATTCTCAACAGCAATAAAGCTGAGGTCATTTCAATTAATTTAAAATTCTGGAGCAATGTACAACTGTGCCAAAGCTAGATCAGCATGACATACAGCATAATTACACGGCCATCGTTCCAAGTCACCTTATTTTGATGTGTATGAAGCATCTGAATGGTACTACCTCTACAACACAGGCTAAGAAATGAAAGCAGGGACAGGAGGTTGTTCTCCAAGTCAATTAAATATATATGTACATTTTTATCAGATATACACAGTGTACTTAACAAAATCACCATTTCCCTGAGAAGCGGAGAAAATTGTATGAAGAAGATTATGTGGAATTTCAGTGATTGATTCTGTAATTTCTTACAGACAATACTCTGTTATTTCCACTGAAATAAACATAGCTGCTAGCTATAAGTTAGTTCACATTCTTTCAGTGACTATGCCATCTGAAAAATTATAGTTTGATTATATTTGTATTATGTCATCTGATTCTGTATGGGAGGGAAAAATGTTAGACTCAATGGCCACCCAAAACTAAAGCTTTCTTTCATTATCTTCTTCAAGAAAACTATCAGGTATAAACGAAGAAAATGATATACATGTTGAAATATATTCCTACATAATTAAATCAAATTACATTATTAATTGCATAGGTACTTGATTCTTAAATATTTTAGAAGAAACTGAACAGGTGAATTATAAAATACCATAATAACTTTTGGCAAAATGAGTACTTAAATAATTATCATATTCTTTCAAAAACATGGCATGTTTATAAAAAAACATATCATTTCAAAGTTCAACTGTACTTAGAATTTAGCCCTCCTTGTACCAAAGATTTGAAGTCCTCCTGGACAATATGAATCACAAGAAGATGCTAAGGAAGAGAATTGTGTCTGAGACTAAGTGAAGTGCTTGTTTAGCACAGAAAAGGCTTTCTTTTAGTTGCCAGGCATTAAAATTGAACAAAATTCAAGCAAATAAAACTAAAATATTAGAATATTGGCAAAACTAGAAGGGTTGAGATATTTCACTTAAGACTTATCACAAACAATTTTCTGATATCAAAACAAGTAATTAATTATATTTGAGTATGATATTAGATGATACCTAGCTAAGGAATATTTGACTAAGTGATTGAATTTAGACATTACTCCATTGATAACCCTCCATTGTCTCAGAGACTTACTATTTAATGGTATATACAAATAAAGTAGCTTTTGTCCTGTTCTATTTTTGTTATTATTTAGGCAAAAATGACTGCAAGC